TCTGAACCAGCAGCAGTAAACCCTTCATCCCAGGTAGCAGCAGCATCGCAGTCACCAACACGATGAGAAGGAGCTGTCAACGTGGAGCAGTAGCCACTGCTTCCATGGTCCCACCACTGTTTGTGGCTCAGTCCAGGCCAAAGCTTCTCCCAAGCCTCCTAGGCCGGCGGCAAACTTGGGATCCTCCTGCCTCTGCCTCCTTTAGCAAATCCAACCGGCGTGCGCCACCACAACTGATTGAGTGTAGCTTCGGCCTGAGCTGGGGCTCACAAGGCCACAGGCAAACAGCTTTTTCATGAATTCGTAACACGAATGTTGGGCGCCAGATGTTTGTGGTTCAGTCTGAGCTAAAGCTCATTAAGTAGTTCTTGTTTTTTTTTGTTTGTTTGTTTTGTTTTGTTTTTTGTTTTGTTTCTCCACAGAAGCTAGAAAAGTATACATCTTTTCTCATCTTTCTTACTTAAAGAGCACAACTCACATTTTGCCAGTAAACATTTCAAATCAATGAAATGGATTAAGGAACAGGATTGAAGTTGTCCTCTTCTTTTTTCCTTGGGAACAGGGCCTCTTTGTTACTGAGTACATCAGTGCCACAATTCTGAGGTCTCGTTGTGCCGATTATTAGTAAATTCTAGTTGTGTTTTTAAAAGAAAATATCAAAAACCTTAGGCCATAAGAAAGTAGTGAAGTACTCATATTTCAGCAATAGTATTAATTACCAGGATGAGCCAGAAAAGCTGCCTGAAAGACTCCATCACAGCTGGGCAACCCCGAAGCAAACAGCTAGCTGAAAGGAACCCAGCAAAGCAGAACAAAGCTGCCTGTGGGAGCAGCACCTGAACCCAGCTGAGTGATAGTAGACATGAGAACAGGGGGTTTCTTGGTAATCTGCTCTGAATCCTCTCACCACATAAGTTTCTTTCAGCATTAGAATGGGTACTTAGTAGTGTGCAAAGAGCACGTCCCACATACAGTGCGGTGCTTTAGCAATGTAATTACCACAAAGGTGACCTTCCACCTTCCACAAGGCTGAGCTTACTTTAAGTGAATTCAGCAAAAAAGAAGGGGAGGGAGGAATCAAGCCCTGTCAGTGAGACAAGCCATGAGTAAGGACAGACCATCTGTCACTGGCAGGACCTTAGGACTTCTGAGTCTTTAGTAAGGCCCAACAATTTATCATCGTGTCTTCCCGTGTTCGTTCTCAAATCTTTAGTTGTGCTAAATAAGACAATCTGAAGCAAAGAAATCAAGCACACTGCCAGAGTGCGTATCTCACTGGGATTAAATGCAGAACAGATCCTACAAGTACAGAGGACAATTTAATTGACTAAACAATAACAGCAACATGCTGTTATTTCACTCAAGCTTGTGGCTCAACTAAATTACCCTTGTTTCCTTTGCAGGATGCACTGAATATTTATACAAGGATTTCTGGTACAGCACAGCAGTCAGGATGGCAGGCATTGGCTTCCCGAATCCTACCTATGCCAGATCCAAGGTGGAAGCCAGTGAGAGGAAGGCCTCTGAGGAAGGCCCCAGGCCCCAAGACTCACTCCAGAAGAAGTGGACAGAGAAATGGGGAAGAGTGACTCTATTCCTGCTCCTCCTCCGTAATAACATGACTGACATCAGCATTGCTAGAACGGCATCTATGCAACAGTGTCCCCACAAAACTTATTCAATGTTCTGCAAACAGATACACTGAGAAACTGTAGGTTAAGTCAAGCTAAACCCATGTTATTACTGCATTGCTCCTCAAAGTGATGAGCATCAATGCAGAAGCATAATTAACATGAAAGTCGTTATTATGTACTATGGTTTTAGATCATATCATAAAACTCCACACTCATAAAGGTGATCTTTAAAGTCAGTGTCAATGCTTCCATTTTATATTTTAGTGTAACTTTAGACAAGTTACAAAGTGGTAAGCCTTAGGTTTTCTGTTTGTCAATAAGAATAGGATTATTCTCACATAATACTATCATCAGGAGGATAAGAGATAATGGACCATGCTAAGCTTGCAATGAGTATCAGCTCCTTGTGTCTTAACATATGCATTAGGGGTATTCAGGGTGAGATGTCCGGGATGACAAAGTTCCAAATGAATTTCACAAAGAATCATTATTTTTTTTACAATAGATTTCCTGTGATTGAAATGTTTTGAGAACTGCAAGCTAGAATCAATATCAATGTAACCATCCATTTCCACAACAATCATTGAAAATCCATTGAAATATATGAGAAACTTTGCAATCTGATAAGAGAGTTCTACACTAGCCCTACAGAATGCAGAGCCAACAGGTTGGCCTGTTTTCACAAAGCAAGAACAGCCGGTGAACTGCTATGTTCACATAAGTGCCAAGTCAGACATAATGTTTTAGACTACATAGTAACTAACTCTAATTGTAAGATGTAAGGTGACACCACTTGTCTTCCAGATTTTCTTTTTTTCTATTTCTAAACAACAAAAGATAAAACCAAACCACTGTATTCTCTCCAATAAAGAATAGAAAGAGGGTAAAAAGTATAAGGTCTATAGTACTTAAGCAACTTTTAGGAAGGGATTTATGGATTTGGGGTAGAAATGCCATCCAGCTGCCCTAGTGGTCTGTGTAAGTCAACAGGACCACCGAGTGGGCTGTAGAATCACAGCGTAGAAACTCCAGTGCATCTGTGATCAGTAACCACACACTACACTACACACTGTCCTCTGCTCTTCCCAAGGCTCAGTAAATGTGTTCACATTAATGTGCATTTGAGTGCCATTTCTCCAGGCTGCTTTTTGTATTTTGCCATGGCCTGCCCCCTAGCCCAGAAGCTTCAGGGAGGCAATTATGTGCTAGTGCACATGGGATTTGAAGTCCCCACTCAATCCAGCAGATGGCACCAGAAATCCTCACATTGACACTGGGCAGCAGGGGCTGTTCCAGAGCCCACTGTTGTCTGGTTCTCCTGTGCTCAGCATGAAGCCCTGGCTCTTTGCTGTTCTTCTCCAAGCAGCAACTATCTGCCATTCCACTCTGCCTTTTGCTTTGGAAGCTGTGTTCTGATCTTCCAGCTGGAAGACCACAAATACTTCCATCCAAATCCTCTTGCCATTACTGCCAAAGTTATTTCATAAATGGATTTGCTAGATTTATTGTTTCTGCTGCACACTTGGGTCTGCCCACATCCTCTGGGAGATGGAATCATGCCCTGCTGAGAGTTGGCCAGCACTATAATACCCACTGTTTCTCAGTGTTTAAAGATGGGTGCTGATGCAAGGAAGTGCCCTCTGCCTTCATCAGTGGCATAGACCATCTTCCTGTGTCTTGTACAGTTCAACGAAGACTGAACAGTGGTTAAAAGTAAACTCAAAATTTCAATATTTTTAATGAAAATATAAAGGTTTGACAATTATCATTAGGTCAATGGATTACTCAATTGTTGTTCCTCCTTCTCTTTTAAATACATTTTGGGTTTGTCTGTTCGGCCTTGAATTCACTACATAGCCAAGGCTGGCCTTGACCTGATCTTTTTTGCCAGCCCTCAAGTGCTGGGATGTAGATGGCTGCCATCACACCTGCCTCTTTTTCTAATTCTTTTGGAGTTTATGTTGACATTGTAGGATTCTTGTCTTTGCTGTGTCAAGCAAAAATGTATTATACCAAGATTCCATGTGTGTAGGCGGGGAGCAGAAATTGATTTTGGATTCTTCAATCACTCTTCACCATATATATATATATATGTGTGTGTGTGTGTGTGTGTGTGTGTGTATGTGTATGTATATATATACATATACATACATATATATATATTACCATAAAATTAAGAATATTTTTCTGCATGGATGTCTGTGTACCAGGTGCATGTGTGGAATCTGGTAGGCCAGAGAAGGTTGCTGGATGGCCTGGACATAGAGTTACAGATAGTTGAGAACTACTATAGAATTAAACCCAGATCCTATGAAAAATAGCCAGTGCTGTTAACCGCTGGGGTATCTTTCTAGGTTCTTTGTGTGTGTGGGTGGGGAGGGGGTTCTCTATATAGTCATGGCTGTTCTGGAACTCACTCTCTATAGAGACCAGGCTGGCCTTGAAATGACAGAGATCCTCCTGCCTCTACCTCCTAGACTTGGGATTAAAGGCATATCCCACTGTGCTCAGCTTTCCTCTTATTTTTTGAAGCAGGGTCTCTAGCCATATGTGGACCTCATTGGTTCAGCCAGGCTACCTGGCCAAGTAACCTCGGGGGATCCTCCTGTCTCTACCCCCTAGCTATGGAATTATAAGTATACAGTACCACATCTGCCACATCTGGCTTTTTACATGGGTGCTGGCCATCCAAAGTCAGGGCCTCGTCTTTGTACATGCAGCACTTTACCAACAGAGCCTCCACAGACCCTAAACCTGTCTCTAAAAGTTGAAGAGCAGGTCATCCATTTCTCCTTCACTACATTCTAACAAGCTGACTTTTGGAACAACTAGGAAATACCATTAAAGTGTTTATTTACTTTTAGTAGCTAAATGATAATTGGTAGGATAAATTAGTTCCTAAGTGTGATTGACAACATAAATGAGTGAGCCTTTAGTGGGCGTTTGATCAAGATTTAAAATGACAGTTTGGGGGCATATTGGCACTTAATTGGTAAGATTTATAAAGCTTTTTTTTTTTCTCTATGTTGAAGCAAAGAAAGAAGAGAAGGAGAGGGGGAAATGGAAGAAAAGAAAGGGGGAGAGAATATTAAAGAGGTTCTCAAATACAAGTGGTATTAGACAGAGCCACACATGGCCCTTCACACAGTACACTTTCACATCTTAGGGTTGGTCCTTTTGATTTCTCCTCTATCCTATTTTTCAAATGATAACTGCTTTTCTTCCTTCTATCTATTGTGCAAGTGTACTTATGCAAGCATTTGAGAGGACATGTTGCACCTTTTGTACTGTTTCATTCCCTTTTGTAAGCTTCCCAAGAGTAAGAACACCATTTCTTCCCTGGTGTATCCTCTTCACTAATGAGTAGTGGAGAGCAAGATTTCTAGAAAGCTGGTGTCAAGGTCAATACAGAATTTACTAAATGTAATTTAATCAACATTTTTTTTGTAGTGTATCAGTAATCAAAGTAATATAATTTATTATTTATTAAGCATTTACTATGTGCTAGGCATTAGATAATTATTTATATGGATACTCTGAGTACTGAATTACATGACATACCCACACATATACATGCACTCTCTGTGTGTATGTGTGTGTAAACTTTGTCTCCCCAAGAAAATTAGATGTGTACAAGGAACAAAGTTATCTATGTATACATATGATGCTAAGTTCCCATAGCATCTTTATCATTTAAGCCCTAGGATATGCAGTTTACATAAACATATACATATAAATACATACACACATATGGGCTAGAGATGGCACAACTATTAAGAGCACTTGCTACTTTTGCACATGACCCTGATATGGTTCCCAGAACCAACATAGCAGTTCACTATTTTTACTTCCAGTTCTTGGATATCTGAAGTCCTCATCTGGCCTCTGTGGGCGCTATACTTACATTGTATACATACATTCATGGAGGCAAACACTTGTCAAATAAAAGATAATAATAAAATAAAAAGAAACTGAAGGAACAAAACATCGAGTAACTCTCTGAAATCATAAGATCAGACATAAGTAGATGGCAGTGATTTCAAAACTGTTTTATGTGAAAATGTTCTCCTAGCTTTCTTTCTCAAAGTTGCAGAAACTACTCTGCAGTTTAAAAAAATGAGAACTGTAGTTAAACTGACAGTTGTAGAACAGTCTGTGGGACACAGCAGCTCTCATTATTTATATCCTTCAATGTGGTATTGTATTCCCCCATATATTGTGCATGCTAATAAACTTATCTGGGATCAGCGACAGAGCAGCCACAATATTAAACATAAAGGATAGGCAGTGGTAGCACATGCCTTTAATCCTAGCATTCCTGAGGCAGAAATCCATGTGTTCAAGGATACAGACAGGCATGGTGACTCATATGCCTTTAATCCCAGAAAGCAAGCCTTTAATCCCAGGGAGTGGTGGTAGAAAGCAGAAAGATATATAAGGCATGAGGACCAGAAACTAGAAGCTTTTGGCCTAGTTAAGCATTTGGCTGGTTAAGCTTTTAGGTTTTGAGCAGCACAGTTCAGCTGAGACCCATTCTGGATGAGGACTCAGAGGCCTCCAGTCTGAGGAAACAAGACCAGGTGAGGATCCGGCAAGGTGAGATAGCTGTGGCTTGTTCTGGTTCTTGTTCTCTGACCTTCCAGTATTCACCCCAATAACTGGCTCAGGTCTGATTTTATTAATAAGAACTTTTAAGATTCCTGCTACACATCCCTGTTTGCTTATGGACTCTTTACATCCTGGAGAGGTAAGGAATAAACCATTAAGGAATTTGAGCAGTTAAAACATGATGCTACTGTTTCAACACATGCCCATTTTGTGCTGATCTGGTATAAGGAAAAAAAAAAAAACTCTTCTTTAGTAATTCTCAGTCATCACGTTCCTTTCAGGATGTGGACAATTTTCTACATCAATCAACAGATTAAAAGCTTCAGACACATCTATTCAGTGTAAGTACTCATGCACGTTTGTTGTATACTGTGTCTATTTGTATGTATTTCTTTACCTGATCCTTATCTGCAGTTTCACCACCACAGAACAACCACACAAGGAAGGCTCAAATGCTAGTAGAGAACAGATTGGACAAGGATTCCCAGGGATTATGCCAAAAGAGCAAAATGACAATTAAACAACAAGTGTCTGATTTGGGCAGTTAATGGGTGTACTACTATTTGTATAGTAACTTGGTATGTAGCTTGGCTCT